GCCCCGACGAGTCACGACCCGTCTGTCCTGTTTCGGGCATGTGTGCTCAGGAGGAGCCTGGCACGGCCTAATCTGAGGCCTGACAGAGAGTATTTCAAGCACCTCACTGGGCCATTTCCGCCGTGAAGAAGTTGGATATATCGAAATGCAGATCATGTTGTGTTGTTCGAACACTGGTTGCTGCGCAGACCATAGCCCCTGTGTGTATATATAAGCTGTTGTATAGCCTATTATAGACCTGTTCTCTTCCATCTCCCACCCCCAAGTGCTGTCCCAAGCGAGTGTGCCCGAGCTGTCTCTCTTTCCAACAAGATCAACTTTTTTGAAACTTAAAATAAATAATTTTTTCTGAGAGATTTTTTATTATTACTTTTCTCTAAAAAAAAAATTTAGGTCTGTTACTTAATGATTGCTAAGGAAAACATCAGGTTATATACGAAGAAAAAACTAAGACAGACAATAATTTTACGTTTTTGCAGGTGGTTTTTGCTATGAAAAAATTCGCAAAAGCATTCAAGGTGTTTTTGTCATGGATAAGACCTGGCTCGTCCTCTCCAGCACTGGTGCTGAGCTACTGAGGTACACCATAAATAAATAGTAAAAAAAAAACTAAACTTCAATGGAAGTTATATTATATACACTTGCCTTATAAGGAAAGCTTGAGAAAGCCATGCCATAGAAACCATACAACATATCTAGTTATGGATAGTACATACATATCTATATAGGATAGCCTTAGGGTCCACTATAAGTAGTTGGTGCGCATAACATCAAGCTATCATTCGCGTGTCATAACGCGCTTGTCACATCACATATCTCTGTCTTCGACTTTCACTCTCATGAAACGTCTGGCATCTATCGATACCATCGCTCCTGAAACTCTCGCAGCTATATTCCGTGTTCTTGCGTCACAAGACGAACAATGGAGCGAACTCCGACTGAAAAAGGGCCCGCTGGCGCTCTGTGCGGTCTCCTCCTCCTGGCGGACCGTCGCCTCTCGAATACCAGAGCTCTGGGACCGTCTTTTCATCAATTTCACCGACTCGGACGAGCCACGCAAGAAGACTACACGGTTCTCCTACAAAAAAGAGCAGCACGAAATCCAAATATCACCCGATTGCATCGCTATCACAAAGCTCTCCATTGCGCGACTCTGGATAGAGCGGGCTGGCACCCGACCAGTCTCTTTGTCCTTCAAAAGCACACTAGAGTTCCCCTCTATCGAATTCCGCAACGAGATTGACGATTTCTATACGGAATTCACCCCCCCGCGTCATCTCTCTCTCCTTCGACTGGCCGCGGGAGCACGACCTGAACTTTCTCATCAACTCTCCCATCGTCTACCCCGCTCTGGAAGAGCTTGTTGTTCAATGTCCTCCGGAGGATTTCGCCTGGATATCGATGGGGGACATCGAGACAGACGTCGAAGTGATTTTCCCAGCTCTAAAACGGCTATATGTGACCGCACCGCTGGGGTCGACGGCCAACACTACACTGCAGCGCGTGCTGTTGACGAAGGAGACGTGGCAGCAGCTGACACATCTCAGGCTTGAGCGCTCTGCCGGAACATTTACCGAGCTCTGCGAAACTGTGGCGCTATGCACTTTGCTCGTCGAGTGCCATGTGGGCTGCACTTCGTCAGACGCGCCGAAATCGACAAAGAGCAAGACGACGTTGGCCGAATTGCAGCATCTCGTGCTAGAGCTTTCCAGTGGCCCGCGCTTCGCGACCTTCTTCGACCTGTTCCAGATGCCCAACCTGACCACTGTCTCGCTCGGGTACACCCGCGGCATTCAGGCCACCGCGCTTGTCCAACCATTGACGAAAATCTTTGCGCTTCTCCCTTCCACCTTGACCCGTCTGGCGCTTTCCATTCCCTGCCCCGCTGCACCCCTTCTCGCACTCCTCGACCGTGCAACTGGAATAACAGACTTACGCGTCTGCTTCGACGAGACGCTGTTCCAAGAATTCGTCATCCAGCCCGCCCTTCGATCGCTCTGGGTATTCCTCCCAAAAGATGCCAAGAAGCGGCGCATACCCTCGCCTGCCCTTCCTGCGTTGGACATAGTTGTCGCCGCCCTACGACAGTCCCACGAGGCGCAATTGGACACACTAATCCTACGCGACCTTCCATGGATGCGTGACTCGACAGAGACGATGTTGAGGCAACGCGTTGACGAGATTCGGGGGGCGGTTATCAAAGGACTGAACAGTATCGCATACCAGTCTGGAATCGCAGAGGCTTCATTCCCGAGGATGATGTTTGAGGTAATCCCAAACACAGGTATTCTCAAGCACCAAATGATAGTAAAAGCGCCATAAATTTTCAATGGACATGTCAATGTGTTTCAACACCCAACTCGCCAACCAAACGCTTCACTCGGTCACGGTAAGCCTCCTTGTCAAACTCCTGGTTCCCTCTTCGGGGAGGTATTTCGTCCAGGATCTCCTGAAGCCCCTCCTCCAGCCTCGCATTCTCGCATTTCAGCGGCAGCAGTTGTAATACCCCTGTGTTCGTGAAATGCAAGCGCATCCGACCGCGCGAGCGAAGGATACGCTGGATGTCCGGTACTGAGGTCGTTTCCGCGCCGGGTGGCAGGCCGAGATGGATCTCAATCTTGACTTTGCCCGGCTCCTTGACGAGGTTGAAGAGAAGGCATATTGGCGGCCAGGGAGTGAGTGTAGGCTGCTCGCCGCGGGCAATATAGAGCAGACGCAAAGCGCTGAGGATGATTGTCTCCCGTAGCGTGTAGTAGCGGCTGTTGATCACGGCGTGAAGAAATAAATTATCCTTCCGCCCCGTCAGCCCTGCGGGATCCTGTTCTACACCATCGGTCAGATTAACGGCCCCCAGTATTGCAAAAGTTACTTGCGAGTTCTGCGATTGACATCGAGACGCCTCTTGTCGATATACTTGCAGTTTTGGCGGTGTCCCGTTCGCCAGTCCACTCTTTGGCACGCCTTGGAGCAATATAGTGTTATACTGCAACCGGAACACCGTTTGAACCGAGCCTTCTCCATAATGCGACAGCACTTGGTAGTATGGTGAGTGCTGCATTGCAGTAAATATGACAACGTACCGCGGTGTTTTCGCATGAGCGCAAACCTGAAAGCATACCGTCACGGAAATTTTGGAGGATATCAAGCCTTTGCTTCGCTAGATCGACGAAACACACCCAAGCTTCCTTTAGGTCAGCATCCAACAGGTATGCATCCGGCTGGAGTTGGAGGACGATGGTCATGGGTTGCGAAAGATTTGCCACCACAAGATAGAACAATGTGGCTGGCTGTAACTCCCACCGTATGAAATGCAGCAGTCCGGCACGTCGATCAGCGTCATTACTGTATAGACGTGCATAATGCAGCATTGTTTGGAGAAGGCCAGCCCGGAGAGCGTGAACAAGGCATTTGGGCTTGAGCGAAGCATCTTGCGCAACATTCAAGAACTTTGCGATGGTTTGGAAGACGGCGTGAGGTAGAAAGTGAAAATCAGTGGCTGTGGGACTGTGGACTACCGCAGCGAAGGCTTGGACGAGAGCTGGAATCACTCGCCGGTGGTACATGGCCCAGCGAACGTCCAGTGTCTTGGGACAGTGATGCAGCAGTTGAATCATAGCGTAAACGTTGTGACAGTCGTCCACAGAAATGGGGTTATCAGCGCCCCGTCCTCGAGAAGCATAGTCAAGATGCCCAGCAATCAGAGAAGATAGATCATCCCAACTCCCTCCGACACCCTCAATCAAATCGACTGTTCTGGACGGTTTCGTGGTGTTCGACACTTGATCCATCTCCAAAATCCGCGCCACAGCGTTAATACCCGGTTTGATTCGCAGAGAAAACATTCTCCGCCATGCTCGTCCAACGACGCTGAAAATGGCTGGGGTAGTGACATCAGAGAGGAGGTCCCACCGGTTCTCCCGCTTGATTCGATCCCAAACTCCCGACATGATATGCAATGAGGTGAAGTATGCATCGTCGGTGCTGGTAATTGGGTCCGCGATGGCTTGGTGGGTCCGAGCACCTGCAAGCGGCAATGATTCATGTAGTTCGTCGATGAGCTCTATCCACGCCCAGATACGCTCCCAACATTGCTTGAATGCCTCGAAAGGGATTTTCATGTCCCATATTATTATGCCAAAGCCCCGGAATCCTGCCGACACTCGCCGCATGAGGAGGGAAACATGTTCTGATTTCAGGTTGAGATTGTTCAAGCTAGGGGCTCGGAGCGAGGGTATTTCGGCGGTATCCATGGCTTGGAAAAATACTGGCGCAGTCAGGCGGATATTTTCCTCACTCATTTTCCCCGGGAGAAGTCGAGACGCAAGCGATTCCAGGTCAACGAGCGAGCCATGTACAGCAGCTAAAGCAAGTTTCTGAACAGAAATAGTATGAGGGATGATTTTAAAACTGCAAGCACCCCACCTTCTCATACAGTGGAAGACTCCGACCTTCAAGATTTGACGGGTTGAGGAAGGTATGCATGTCGAGGAAAGTTTTGGTTGGTCTTCAGGAGTGAGTGACCGTGACGTCACATTTCGCGTTGCCAACGTTCAACACTGAGAAGTCGATTCCCCAGAGGTGGATACTTGCAAGATACTTGAACACGTCGGTTTCTGGTGGTCAAGCTTTGGTCCAGTCTGATGGTGAGTTTCGTGCCGATCTTGACATCTGCCATGCTGAAACTTTTTCCCACTACTAGTAGCGCGCCGAAAATACTAGTACCAAATCCAATCCATCCTGCCTCCCATGGGCTGGAATCTGGCGGTATGGGCCATCGTCGTGGGCTGCAGCTTCTCCTTCGCTAGCACCACCTCAACGAATCTTACCATCGACGACACTAACCTCGCACGCATACTTTACTTGGAACGAGCCACCCACCTTGCCCGAGCATCCAAACTGGGCCGCGGTATCGCCCGGTCATTCATGCGGGTACTGCTCTGCACAGCCGCCAGCCACGGCGCCAGTCATATACAACGGGACGTGGCATGACGGAGCGGTGAATGCAGCAGGGTCGATTACGTTCCGAGGCCAGTTCTTGGAGGTCTAGTAGAGCGAAACTCATCTTTCCTGCAGGCTCTGCTATATACCTCTTCGGAATCGACATTTTCAATCCAGCAAACATCACATTCACGCTCGACGGGAAAGAAGCCGGGTTCCATTACTATGAGGGAACGGACGCTTATCGGTACAACGCGCCATTTTACTCCGCTTCAGGGCTATCTACGACAACAGACCACACCCTTGGATGGACCCTTCGAGCAGGAAAACAGAACTCGCTTGCTGCGCTCATCGACTATGCGGTGGTTACAATAGAGAGGTATGTGTTCATGAGCTTCTCTTTCTTCAGGCTACTGACTGGTCTTTACAGACGTTTTTAAAATAGTTGGCCACGGCCCGATTTTTCGTCACACATCAAAATTTGCACAAAATTTGTGTCCGAGATTGTGGAGGCTCGTTCTCACTCAAAACTAATAAAATCTAGTATATTCGGACATATCCCGCTCCGCCACCAAGGGTGAGCCCGGATGGCGGTTCTTAACTGGAGCCAGTTTAATCGAGTTTATTCAATTTGTAGTTCGTGACCAAGACATTAAAAAATTAATTCATTAAGACGTCAGACTTCATTTCAGCCAGCCAGCGCAGTGAAAATTCGCTGGGGCTTTGGACACGGAAGCACCTGCGCAAGCGGCTTCATCAAGTAACTAAACCCAGCGCGTGAACCAGGAGCTTTTGCTCCATTTGCTCTCGTTGCAGCGAATGCCGTTTCCTGAACACCACCGAATACCAACTTATGGGCGTTCAGAGCAGAGTTGTACGTATCGCTACCGCCATTCGCGTTTGCAGTCATAAGCAGTGGCGAAGAATATGTGTTGTCTTCGTTGAGATGGAAGATCAGGTCGCCAACCAAGTGGGGGACGGCATAGGCAATCATGGAGTCGCGCGCTGAGGCGGGACGGGTGGAGGATGGGAAGCTCAGTGTTGGCGAGGGCGGTGGTGGTAACGGTTTTCCGGTCAACAAACCGAGGTCCTGCGGTTCCGGATCGGGGTTGCGAACTTGGAGGGAACGAGGGCGAGAGCGAGACTGCTTTGAACTCGTGCGCGAAGACCCGTGTCGCTTTTGATTGGGGAAATCAAGCAATTTCAGGGTTGACTTGACGGAGACGTCGTCAACGAGAGACAATCCCACAACGCTTGTGTTCTCTCTTTGCTTCCCCTTCTCTTCAGCACTGTATCGTGTAGACTCCGTCTTCGGCTCTGACTCCTCGTCCACAGTCTCAAGCAGATGTGAATTGGTACCAGGGGTTAACTGGCCCGCCTCGTTAGTATTCACTCGTTCCGTGAACTGGGGCGCCGGCTTGCGATAGGTCGAGCGAGTGCGGGACAAAGAGAAGGCGGAAAGCGGACTCGGAAGATTGCTGGATGGGACATTTTGTGGCGTATGAGGTGGGGTTATTAGACTCGAAGTTCGGCCCGGGGTTTTCAGCTCCTGCAGCTGAGGTGGTTCAGGGAGACGACTTTCAACCGTTGGCGACGGAGAGGAACTATGTGAAGGCAGCTCTAAGGTCGAGTTCCGCTGGAATTGTCTGTTCCAAGAAGCAATCGAATGGCGTGGATGACGTTCTATGACAAAGGCTGAAGCACATTTTGAGTGTCCAGCTCAAAGGTACATATCGTGAACAACTCACGCGGTTCGGTTCCCGATTCACCTCCGGCTCTAAGGCTCGAAGTTAGTCCAGTTCGAAACGATGACGCAAGCCGACTAACCCCATGTCATTAAGCCAATTAAGTAGGCGTTGTCCATGCAGTCGTTCTTCCGGGTTGACCTTGCACAACTATATATAAGAGTATTGAGCACAGGGAACATCATGGGACCACGGAAGCCCAACCTTCAGAATCAAATCAGTCGTGGCTTGAGGAATCGCAACCAACTCCTTTAGAATCCGGGAAATGGCGAAGGGGTCGCGGAGGATAGCATAGCAGTCTGACTGTGCCTCACGCAAGCTTGGAGTCTGTGCGGCAGCAGATGGGTCTTCATTCGTAAGAAACGAGACCCAGGATTCCAATAACTCGTCGCTGAAATCCACAACGAGATCGAGAAGTGTCATGCCCAAGGACCAGTAGTCAGAGCGATAATCAAACTTCAGCTCTGGGACGCCGGGGGTTGGATATAGTTCCGGTGGAATGAAACCAAGTGTCCCAACAAGTATGGTGCGGGAATCAATGCATTCGGTAGTCGATGGACTCGAATGAAAGGTCGTGTTGTAGTCGGCGATGATGCAGTGCCCATTCTTGTCTGTGCACACGTTGAAGCCCACAGTTTTTTTTTTTTCGATATTGCGAAATATAACTCACCTATGAGAATGTTGCCAGGTTTCAAGTCGCGATGCACGATATTGAGATCGTGGAGGTGAATTAGCCCTTGCGTCTGGTGCTGATTAGGTAACCAGTCGGAGGAAGGGCCTATCGACTTACGATTTCTGCGGCTAGAGTCGCATATAGTGAGTCCCACAAGGCTTCTGGAGGCAAAATGCCAGAAGACCACTCCAAACAGCACGGATGATACTCCTGCACAAAACAATTAGCGGGGAACGAGTGGGCGATAAAATTTGTACCGTGATTATGGCCACCTGTCGCCCGAGACTTCGCACAGAGTCGAAATCGATATCTTCAACGAAGGACAGCAACCTAGGGTGTGGTTTCTCCTTGATTTTATAGAGCGTGCGTATCTCTGCAGTTATACCGTCGAAGCGGGTTGATTTGTCGCGGTAGTATTTGACGGCAAGGATTCGAGGGGGATGGATGTTGTTCTTTTGGAAGGCCCATATGGTGCAATCTTCGACCTGGTCGAGAAGTGAGTATTCATCCTCCGGAACGCCCTCCCGCATAAGCTTGGTGGGCGGTGGGCGCGGAGCTTCGGGTTGCTGGTCGGGATAAGGAAACGGCACGAGGACTGGTGGAATGTCGGGAGGGTGATGGTACATTAAGTTGGCCTGCACCGGGACGTTTGCGATTCGATGGAATTTACCCAGCAGTTGCTTCACCCGCGGACATAGACCACCACCACCACCACGCTCGACTTCAACTGCTGCAGATGACGGTATGAAATGGCTCTCCTCAAGTCTTGGGATTGGTTGCGGCTTGACTGGGGCTTTTGAGCCCAGACGTCGCGGACGACTTATCGTCCTTTCCCGGACTGGAATTGCTAATAGTGGCGGAAGGTATGTCGATGTCATGAAGGGAAGTGGGAGATAGGTGTGGAGAAAGCAATCGATATGCGAGCTTTTTCATGGTGGAGAACAAAGCAAGCAGCGACGGCGTTCGCTTGAAAAGTACAATAACGCTGGCGGAGACAACAAAAACGTCTCTTGTGTGGCCACAGCGCCTGACAACCGCGGTGATGTCTGTAGGGCCATAGCGAAGGGCGAAGAACAAGGACAAGAAAAGTTGATGCTGATCCCATCAATGGGTTACTTGCACATCGCGTCGTCCACAAGAGATTCCTCACCAATGTTCGATATATGTAGCTACAGGTTCTGCGTATAGACTACAATATATAGTGCCGGAAAGGATAATTCTTAGCCTGGTGTTTGAAGTGATAAGAGCGGTGAATCTGAAGACGCTGTCACACTCATGTGACTGTGACTGTGCGATCTCAAATCTTCTCCCCTCCTTCAAATTCAGGCTCAAGATTAATTGCTGTGTGCCCGGCCACAGTGCCGGCGACAGGCCTTCATCTCACCGCGACGGTGGATGAGGTGCTATCCTTACGACGAATATGCGCGAGCATCTTCGGACTCGGATTCTCGCACCGAATGAATTATGACTCATGCTTCGAGGAATTACTTATTTACGCACCTTCGTTGAAAGTTCCTTCCTGTCACCACCGTCTTCACGAAGACTCCAATGGTCGCTAACCCAATCACACCACTACCAAAGCTACAACTGGCAATTGCAGTTCTGATCCAGGCCGCTGAAGGTCTTTCTGCGTCCGTTGAGCTACTTTTCTCGGAGATTCTGTTGACTCCGCATTCCAGGACGGTCATCTTCCCATTCATACCCCAGTTTGTCCGCGATACTGGTATTACAGGTGGAGATGAGCGTAAAACGGGGTATTGGGCTGGGATATTGGTCTGTCGACTCTCTCTTGCTCGACGGTCTGATGAATTTCATCCCAGGAGTCCATCTTTTTCATCGCGGAATTCTTTTCCGTGTATGGCTGGTCTGTCGCATCAGATATGGTAGGCCGTCGCCCTATTCTGCTCCTTGGACCTCTCGGTCTGTCTATTTCCCTGTTTGGATTCGGGCTTTCGCGGACATTCTGGGGACTGCTTTTCTGGAGATGTGCCCAGGGTGTGTTCAACGGCAACATCGGTAAGAGATTTCGATGAACGCGACGCTTCCAATCCAACCTTTTTCTCAAGGTGTTGTCAAAACAGTCATGGCAGAGGTAAATGAGGCTTCCTTTTCCCCTTACAGGCTCTGATTTGTTTCGTAGTTCTCGGATAGAAGTAATTTGGCACACGCGATGTCATTTATTCCTGTCGCATGGAGTTCTGGAACTACCATCGGGTGAGTATTACCACTCTCCGCTACTCCTTTGCCAAAATGTTTGTAGCCCAATTCTCGGTGGTGTCCTATCTGATCCGGCTTCCCACTTCCCCGCGCTTGGAGACCTGTTTCCGCTTCTCAAGACTCATCGTTACTTCTTACCCTGTGCTGCCGTGGCGCTGATTTGTTTCTCCATCTTTGTTCTGGGCTGGGTCGGATTGCGCGAGGCAAGTCTTGCCGTTGTTAATGTTGCCCGCATATTTTCAATCAGGAGAGAAACAGACTTCACCAATCATTCTGGCCCGTCGCAGTCGTGCCATTTCGAATGCAAACTTGATGCCCTCGCCGGAAACAGGTCTGCTGGCGGACTCGCCAGAGACGGGATATGGTACTTCCAGCGACACCACCGTGACGTCCTCTGAGGCGGAAGATGAGCGCATTCCTGCCCTTCGAGAACTTTTGGTTCCACGGTTATTAATCCCCCTTCTCAACTACGGGTTCTTCTGCTTTTGTCAAACGGCATATCAAGGTATACGACCCAATCTTTCTGGTTTTCGTGCTGAAGGGCCCCAGTCCTCCTCCCATTAATGTTTTCAACCTCGATCCCTCTCGGAGGGCTTGGCTTTACGCCCTACCAAATCGGCGTCGTTCGTGGCATTTGGGGGCTCTGCAACACGTTCTTCCAACTCGTTCTCTCAGCGCGTATCATCAACTTCCTCGGCCCGCGCGTCGCCTACATCTTTGCGTTCGCCAATTTCGCGTTGTGCATCGGCACATACCCGCTGATGAGCTACTTTGCCCTACAAGCAGGGCAAGTTGACGGGTGGGTTTGGACGCTGATCGTCGTCCAAGGCATCGCCAATATCTGCATTTCAATGTCGTATGGCGAGTGGTTTTAATTCTAGTCTCGTCACCTAATTATATTCCAGTCACGGTCCAAATGTATATTGTCACCTCCTCCCCTCGCCCCGCCGCATTGTCATCTACGAACTCAATCGCTCAAATGGTATCGACAATTCTGCGCGGGCTCGCACCGTTTCTTGCCTCTGCCCTCTTCGCATTCTCTCTCGAACAAGGCTCGCAGCTCGTATATATCGTGCTGCTGGGAACCGTTGCTCTTGGTGTCTACACGTCGTTCTGGCTGCCAGAAGAACTGAAGGTTTGATAGAGGTTTCATATTCCGACAAATAAACCACAAAATTCATCTATTACACCGCATTGCCCGCCTGAGCCACTAGACTGAGCAGATTAACTAGCACGTCGTTGAAATCCTTCAAATTCTGCTGCTCGGCCTCAGCAGTGGCTACTGCTGGACTCGCACTGGGGTGGCTTGAAGTCGGGATTGCAAGTGCTTTATGGCTCGATGACGCAGCCTTAGAGGAACTGTGGAAGGTCGAACTTGCTTTGGAGCTCGTTTTAGAGCTCGTTTTGCTGGATGGTTTCGGGGTCATGTGTGTGGCAATCGAGGAGGCTTTCGCCGTGCTTTTTTGGTTCTCGTCCGAGTTATCGTCAACAAAAGACCAGTCAGCATTAATCACCCCGACATTAAGGTCATTCTGCACACCGCCCACAAAGTGGCCGAATAAGCTCTGTGATAAATCCAAACCCCATTCAGGGCAGCCCATACACTGCGGACATCAGTAAGTTCATCATAGAGTTGCCGCCGCCTCTTGCGGGTTTCCCACACCTCGTCGACAATCTTTGCGTTTGCTGTTTTACCCTGGTATGATATTGAGATCTCCTTGCCGCAGTACTGTCCGTTGTTGTAGTTGAGGTGCGAAATTGCGACAATCTGCCAAAGGGTCAGCAATTACAACTTGGACCTGGAGCACTAGGATCGCGCACATATTGCTGGTCGTTGTTCCACTCCCCACACGCGCCTCTGGAGGTTTGGTCACCGTTAGGTTGCGCGCATGTCATGCACATACAGGCCCGCGTAATAGTTGGTCATCCGAATGCCGGTATGCTGGGCTCGGGGCAGGAGATGTGTCGCCAGCACGAATGGCGAAAATACGAAGAAATTGAAAACGAGGGTGAGTTGGAGCATGGTGCAAGTTAAAGGAGTGTGGGTAGTAGGCATGAATATTGTGAAGGATGGTGTAAAGTTGTTATATAAGGCATGCGCGGGAGACGAACAACTCAACAAGGGGAGGAAAACACGGCGTCAATCTTTGCCCCGGGCCCATCATTTTGCTCATAGCCTGATAGATTGGTGCACTACCGGGAGCCAATCCAGTACTTATTCATGCATTTATGCCCTATGCGCTCCATTCCGAGTCGTCCTATTATATGCACACTTCTGATCATGCAGCTCAGTTCCAAAACCGGGATAGCCTCGAATTCTCTGACCACAATCATTTGTGCTCATTGTTCCCCAACACATCAAAAGCCAATGCCGGTAGCCACCAAGGAATTCCTGAAACAAATTGGATGCCAACCCGTTTCACAAACGCCTCGCACTGCTCCGACATCGGTTGACGCAAATACGGCCCGGGCAACGCCTCCTCTCGTAGCAACACCACATTACTCGGCAGTAAGACAGACATTTCGATTGAGCTGCTCAGCCAGTGCGTGAAGCGCGACCCCCTCATTCGGTCGCTGGCCTCTCTGGAAAGCGACAATATGCTGATCTGGATGTATTTCGGCATCTGGCCCGAGCGAAGAAACATCGAGAAAAATCAAGTCGACTGGTCTTCGACTGGGTCCAAGTCACGGTAGTCACACATATTGTCACTCCTGTCACATTCAGCCGTTCATCTCGTACCTCAAAAATCAAATCCCTTGTTCATATCTGTTGTTCTGGACATAGCGACTTCGGACCCACACTAGCAACGATGTGTTGCTATTCTCCATCATTGTCACCTTGTGTTGGCCTTGTCTTTATTGTTGTGCCATGTCTGGTTGCGTCGGAGGCTCCAGCCTTTGTTTCCGGGCCTATATATATGCGTACAATACGAAGTATTGACACCAACCACTCACAATATGCTCGCTCGTCTCATGAAGAAGCTTCGAAGAATCATTGGGAAGGGTCAAACTCGTCCTCAGGCTGGGACAGCAATTGACTCGATAGAACCTGATGCCGAGTTACTACAAGCTAATGTCGCACAGCCTCAGAACACAGTTACTCCTGCAGAGTGCAAACCTGAAGCCCAGCCAACACAGACAGATGAGGGGATAGAATCCCCTTATCTGCCAGTGGATTCAGAGATCGATGCAATCACTCCTGATGTTGCATCAACATATTCTGTATCTCATAGTGGGCTCATGTCGCATGTCAGTGGAGACGCATGTCCATAACCGGACATGCGTCCGCACCCGCGTTTGATGCGCGAAATTCCGATGATGTCCGTAGTTACCCGCGTGTCACCGTCAATCCGAGTAGTTACCGCCAATCTAACCGATCCCGGATGATCATTTATCGATCTCCGAGGCTGTCGCGTTGCCTTTGCATGCTGCAAACGGCGTTTCTGCTGTGAATTGACTTTGCCTCTGCCCACCATGGCCCCAGATCGAAATTCTGCAACCCGGGGCACTCATGGAGGAGCAAGAGCTCGCTCTGGGCGCCCATCAAAGCCAACAAACTCCAATACAGATCAAATTGCAGCATTCTTTCTGCCCCGCAGGAACCAACCAGCCAGTACCAGCTACAAACTTTCACACATTCTACTCAGCTTCCAATCCTGAAGCTCAAGTGGTACCTGCTGAACATGCAGATATTACAGGTGCATTATTGTAATTTATACTAATGATTTCAACTTATAACTTCTTCAGTTTCTCCTCAAGATTTTGCCACATTACAACAGGAATTCACTTTTATCTCTGAAAATGATGAGTATGGTGATATTGCTAGAGGGGATGTGCAAGTAGAGGAGAGTCTAGTAGATGATTTGCCAGGTTTTGAACCACAGGAAAATTTGACAGGAGAAGAAGAAGAGGCTTCAGCCTCTAGACTAGAATCCTCAACAGCTAGATACTTGAAGGCTTTTAAGGAACGAGTAGTACAGGAGATCCAGACACATGGGAAACCTAAATGTTATGCCCATGGAGATCTGTATGATCGTGCACCCAATCCAGTCTTTTCACTGCAGGAAAATTTTGTCCAAACAGCAGATACAGGGTCACTGTGTGACAGTCTATATGCTAGGGATATCTGTGTGTGGCTACCATATCTACTTCCAGGTGCACCAGAAAAGTTCAAATGTCATAACTGTGGTGAATCATTGACCCGAAATGGTATTATTTTGAAATTAAATATATATCTATTAATTTAATAAAATATATTCAGGTTTTAATGACAATCCTATTGCACGCCGAGTCCGATCAATGCCAAATGATTTCTTTTTATTCACAAATCGATTCATTTGTGATAACCGGCGTGAGGGTAATAAAGGATGTGGTCGCACTATGCAGGGAACTGATCCCATCATTTTGTCACAACTTCCACGTTTTACACAGCTAGCCTTTCCAGGTAGATCATCATCATCAATTTCTGATCTGTATAATATTTACTATTTATAGCCTATATCACAGCAAGGGGTGCTATCTCCAAGACAATGATGTGGCAAATGCGCAACACGTTTGCAACACGATTTGGCCCAGCTCCATTTTCAGATTTAGTTTCTGAAATTCAAACACGATATCATGCAGAATGTGAACTGATGTATTTAGATGCCGCAAAATTCTATCATCAGAAACAGGTCAAAGCATTCTCAGAATTTGCAGACAAACTTGGCTGGGCTGGATCACCTCCAGGAGTTTCATTCCTCAAAGGATGTTTTACAGACTTTATGGCAGCTCATCGGATATATATTGAACGTGATACTGCAACTCTTCCTTTGACATATGCCAAGGCTGATCATACATTTGATGTCAGTATTTATTATTATTTCCTTCTAAAAACAATATTAACTTCTTCAAACTTTTAGGTTACAAAATATATGGGAGGTGTGAAGCATGAACATATCTTCACATCAGCCTATACTGTGATCAATGAATTTGAGCAAACTAGAGGTCATGCTCTGACAATGACAAAATCTCTATCCTTTGTCAAAGAGATGTGGACAGGAATACTTGATGGTTTGAAGGCAGTGAATCTTCCCTCAACTCAATTCATCTATGTTGATGCTCCTCTGGGTGGGTGTTTGGGGATATAAACAGATAATAAATTCACTGACTTTTATATTCTAGCTGAAAGAGCATTCCATGAGGACTTGAATGAAACTCTGAGATCACATGTTGAACCTGTGACAGAATGGACTGATCTACCAGCTTTTGCTAGAGCTTTAGATATTCCAGTTCAATTTTCAGCAGACTCTATGGGGATTGAAAGTCTTGCAAATGACATTCTAAGCAAGTTCAATCTATCAGCACCCAGTGAAAATCTTCATCTACTTGCACTCAGAGTCAAATTCTCATATACTCAAGAGAAGAAACACAAGGTTCACTTTATTCAAATGCGTACCAAGTTTGGAATTTTCCTCTTTGATGTATAAGCATTTTCTTTTTTCAATGAGATATTTCTGAATTAAACTAGATGTCACTTCTTAACAAGCCAAGCCATCTCTTGCCTTCTCTTAGGGCAATTTTAACCAATCCTGCTATTATCAAATTTGGGTTTTCTATTCAGGAGTCACTGGAAATTCTTTCAGAAGTCTTTGAACTACAAGAGCTAGCTCAGGCATTGAAAGGCCATAACCCCTCTTATCTCAATATTGGGGCCTATGCTAAACTTAAGGGTGTGGTTACAGATCCCACAGTCTCCCTTCATACTTTATGTGGAGCTGTACTAAAAAAGTCAATTTCAAACCAGGATATAGACTTACAGGCTGCTCTGGCTGATGTAGCTGATGCTCATTATCGTGAGATTGATTGTCAGTGGCAAATTTGTGCTACACTATATCCTATGTCTTCTATTGGCCTTCCTCTGTCTGCCCAGCAGGTTCAACTTCATGGACAGCCTGTGACTCTAGTGCAGGGGTGCAAGCCTGTTGCTGAAGGCTATATTGTCAGGAATTCTCAAGGCTATTTAGTGACTCCAATAGATAATATAGGAGGAACCAAGAAAATCAACATCACACTAACTCGGTCACAAATCAAAGTCACAAAGGTTTATCTTAGATATTGAAATATATATTAAATTTCTCAAATATTTCAGATTCTTGCCCCAGGCTCACTTCAGGCATTGCATAAGCAGTCCTTAGAATGGTTAAAAGCACAAGGCCAAGATGATATTGTTGTTACTACATCTCAACTCCGCTCTAGAAGTGAAAGCAATATATTCAGAACTTCATCTGCTAATTATAATATGGGAACTCCAGCAACAGAGCCTACATATGATACAGATGATATATTCACTCCTAATCCAGGCCTTATTTTTGAATATTGGGAGCCAGCTCAGGAAGATGTTGATCTAGGTGGATTTGATGATGATGATGATGATGATGATGATGATGATTCAGAATCTGTATGTAGTTTGTCTTTCTGCATACCTTACTGATTTTAGGTTGTGTAGACCACTAGTGCTATATCAAATGATGGATCTCAATCAAATCCTAATATGCAAGGTTTCTTTCAATGGCATTTTAATGAGGTATTTTTTCCCTCATAATATGCATATTAATTCTTATCATTAATAATAAATGCAGAATACATCAGCATCTACTCTTCTAGCTGAGCTTCATCGCACTGTAGATTTTCTTAAAAATGCAGGTAACACTTTACCCTCCCGAATCCTTGATGATGCTTTCCACTATATGGATCGTCTGATTCGCCTGCTATCTAAAAAGCATCCTGTTTTTAGACCCTTCTGCCATGACTTTAGAGAAGCTATTTTTATCAGAGACAAATCTGATGTAACAGCTGTCAAAGCAGTGCTTGATGCCAAAGGCATTAACTGGGATTATGCAAAACGTGCAATGGGTCGAGCACTAAATAGACGTATCCGTCACTATATCCCTTTACGAGAGATCCTATTACAGCGTCTCAAACTGCTATTTGAAGCCTATTGTTCATTTACAGGAGAACCATTGTTTTCAAAGGATGCTCTAGATATGATCAAGCGACTTATTGAGACAGTTCGTC